GTCAAGGTCCAGAAAAGTATGAAAGACATCGTCAGAATAGTCCATCTGCCATCAGTGGTTCAACCGTAATGTTGTGAAGCGACGAAAATATTTTTTGTATGCAAAGAAAACAAAAATAAGCACTGTACCATTTGGAGAATAACCACTGAACGCAAGCAGCATATGCTATTCTGTGTCAGCTGCGCTGCACGGATGCGCTGTTTTCGTTCAAATCAAAGCGTAAATACACGTAGAAAACGTATCCTTGTGTCGCGGCTGACACAGAATAGCGTACGCTGCTTGCGTTCAGTGGTTATTCTCCAAATGGTACAGTGCTACAGTGCACTGTATGGTACGCTACAGTGATGCGGAGACACAGAGGAGACGAATTGTTGAATAAAGTCGTTATTTTTGTTTTCTTTGCATACAAAAAATATTCTCGTCGCTTCACAACGTTACGGTTGAACCACTAATGGCAGATGGACTATTCTGACGATGTCATTCATACTTTTCTGGACCTTGACAGTGTAATTTACTTGGCAGTAGGGATATGCCGGTATCAAATTTTTATGTTGCAATTAATTGCTAATACTTTTATTACGGTATACGGTATTATCACGATATTGAAATGTAGGGTTTTTTTTAAAGTGCTGTCATAATACAGTATAACAGGTTTAATAAAGTTTAGCGCCATCTGCTGTCAGAGTGAAAATGCTTTCATCCAGAGCGTCTCTCACATGTTCCGCTATGTGCTTCTCATCCACGCTTGTTTATGTCAGAGTGCTTGTTTATGTCAGAGTGCGCACGGGTCTTTCAGGCAGCATACAGCGGTGTTGTGTATTTTGACCAGTTGATGGGAAAAGTATTTTTAAAATGCATTCAAAATTCTGAATAATTTGTAATATATAATTATTCACGGTATTTAGAAGTGCCCACGATAACAATATTGTGCATATTCATTACCGTGATATATCGCATTACCGAATACCGGCACGAGTCTACTTGGCAGTCAATCGGACAGTCACGAGCCTCCCGGTTTTCGTCCAAAATATCTTAAATTGTGTTCCGAAGACGAACGAAGCTTTTAGGGGTTTGGAACGACATGGGGGTAAGTGATTAATGACAACATTTTCATTTTTGGGGTGGAGTATCCCTTTAAGAAAAAAATCTGAAAAAATGATAAAAGCCTGAAAACACACCTCTTCTTCTTGACTTCTCTCTTGGGCTTCTTCTCATGAACTGGGTTCTCACGGATGGAAGCATGGGCCTTTCTGTACATCTCTTCAACCTGCAGTAACCAGATAATCTTATAATAGTAAGGTGAAGGTAAAGCACAAGATTTACAATAAATTTGTAAAAATATATGTTCAAATATTAAGCTGTATACATCTGTTAATCTGCAACACAAATAACTGACATTTAGCCACCAGCATCATGCCACAAATAATGTGCATCTATAGATGATACAGTATTTGATGGACATCATGACACTTTCTTGTTTCACATCTGTATTACAAAAAGCAAACAAATGTTGCCAGTAAAGTGTTTCTTACAGAGTCGGGTGTGATGCCGTTCTTGATGAAGCGGGAGAACTGCTTCTTGTACTGCTCCTCGTCCTCCTCCATCAGATAGCTCATGTACTCTGACACATTCTGGCCTATGATGTGCTTCCTGTGCACCTCCGCGTTGAACTCCTTACTTTCATTGTCGTAGCCTGGGAACCGTTTAGTGCTGAGAAAAAAAGCTGTAATGTCAATATTCCCATAAGGATGAAAAATGAGACATAAAACCTCTGAAAAAGCTCAAAAAGCTAAAATAAGTAAGCTTGCCTGCACAACATGCCTCAATTAGAAAAAAAACATTAAGATTATTTAGATGTCAATCTGAGTAGGTAGTAGGGCAGTGTGATTGATCAAATTATAGTTTTAATTTCTATTGTTATGTTTAAAACACAACAATCAAGATCAACAATTATTGTGCCACATTCCAGTAATTGATTTCACCCATCATTAAAAGCCCAAACCTAACGTCCAAATCTTCCAAACGTGCCAGTCATAATATGCAGTCTCCTGCGGGACATGTTTGATATTAAAAAGAGTTATAAAAAGTACATTTAGCCACAAAAGAGAACGTGCGCTGTTCCCCAGACAGGACAGGTGAAGCACGAGTGCTTCTGAAGGGGTATTTCTGTATTTGTGAAAAAAAAACTGTAATAAGACTACAGAATCAAGAAATTGCTATATAAAGCATAAATGATCATTTTCCCAAATAATTATTTTTAATTTAGTAAAAATGTAAATTAAATATAAATTTCACTGCAGGGATTGTTATGCATGCTATTTACCATCCTCAAATTAAAGTGTGATGTCCATAAAAAAAAATCATTATTGGCCACCATTGACCACTACTACAAAGTTGAGTTCAATTTAATGCAAATCCACAGACATATGCAGCCACTACCAATGGTAGTGCAGACAGTGAATCTGATCTACATTTAATTGATGTCAATTTACTTCCTCTTCCTAATATAACTTCACCGTATGGTACGTTCAAGTCATGTCGGATAGATCGTATTTACGAGTTGAACGCACATGAACACCACCACGAAGTCGTTATTACCAGTGGGAAACTCGAAATTTTCTTTAAGCCCCGAGTTTCCGAGTTGGGGGCGTGTCAATGAGAAACATGGCAGAATCGATGGATGCAACGTCTGTAGTTGACGGTAAATTTTTGTTTAAATTGATAGTTTAGTTGTCCTATAAACTTAAATTGGTCATGTTCTTGTTACGCAGCTAGTTAATGAAATCCAAGTAAAAAAATGCTATAATTTTTGCACCTATAGGTGAAAAATCTTTTGATTTGCCATGTTGCATGTTTTCAAAATATTAAAAACGCAAAACACACCTGATGCGAATTCTTTGCTCTTCATTTTCTATAAGCAGTTAACAGACCCTGTTGTATTTTCTTGTAATTTATTAAAAGAAGGTACACCGCCATCTTGTGCTGACTAAACTGACTTGAACGCACCTGACGTCGTAATTACGACTTGTCAACTCGTAAGTACGAACGTCCCAGGAGGACTAGAACGCAGCATCAGACTGTGTCAGAAGGATTTAAGTTAATTTTTTTTGTGGTATTTTAGAGTTCATTAGTGACTTCAGGCCATCTGTACAGACAATATTTTTGTGAAGAATATTTAATGTTTCTATTAAAGATTTTTTTAAAGCACCCAAAATTGCTGAATCAAAGTCCACAGTCTAAGCTTTGCAGACTGGGAAAATAAACTGCATGTATGAACCTGTGAGGAATGGACAGTCCTCCATCAACTGCTCCTTTGAGAGCTCCAAACACCTTATTCCCTGTGGTGGTTCTGGCGAGTCCAGCATCCAGGTAGCATGTAAATGCCCCTGGCTGGCCATCAATGCTTTCCACATTAAATTCATCGCCAGTCACCTCAACCTGGCCTTCATAGACCTTATCCAGACCAAACTTATTCAGCAGCTGTAAGCAGAAAGCAAGTCTGAATATGATCATACTTTGAGATGTGAAGAGTACCAGACCATTCATAACTGATGAGGACATTTACCCTGCGTGCACACAGTAAACCGGTGCAGTAGGCAGCAGCGTAGTTCGTCAGTCCAACAGCAATGCCATACTTTGGCAACTCGTGAGAGTAAGCAGCGCAGACGATCGCGTCGCCTTCAATTTTGGCATATGCGATCTGAGAAAGACGCAAAATCGTCCTGATACATTCAGCAACACAATGTTAATTAATAACATTTCAGTACGGCTGGCAAAGATGACATGGTGGTAATTGTACCTGGCAAACAATATCCCTGTTGGAGAGTCGAACAATCATCCTGAACTTCGGTGTGTTGTACTTGTTCTTGTCTTGAATGACAAGGCGCTTGCGGGCAAAGTAGTCAGTTTTTCCCTCTGAAATGGTCAATAATGTTAGTCAACTGTTGAAAAACCATTCAAAGCTGGCTTGCTGGTCTTAAAAGGGGTTTTATTAACTGGCCAGCTAAAACCCAGAATGGTCAGGCGGTCAGACCAGCATAGAATGTTGTGAAAAGTTTTTACATCAGTAATACATTCAGGTCATTTCATTGTGACAAATGAAAACATCCTTCAATTAAGACAAAGTTAAGAAAACACCTTAACATACCTCTCCTCCTCCTGAACTTGACCTGGTATCTCCTGAAATACGCCTTGTTCTTAACCACCTTAACGAAGCCCTGCCAAAAAAAACTCAATTGTTAAACTGTTGACAAGCAGGACTGTCAAAAAGAACATAATCTGAAGCAATCTGACAGTCTTGGGACACCTCTGGTCATAATCAAGAGATGCAATGCGCTGCGTGACAGTATACATGAAACACAAAACTGATTAGAGGAATAAACATCTAACCAGGGCAAACAAAACCCACTCCAGAGGGAGAAATGTTTATTTTATGCGCTTCAGTGTCAATAAAATAATTATTTTGAGTATTTAGAGAGAGATGTGCCAATGACGTTCACACAGCGATTGGTCTGATCGACTTAATCTATAACCATCCCGTCGCTTCAAGTGTTCATCTTTAATGGAAATCGAGCTGAACTGGCGGGAGAGGGAACGTAATGAGTAGATCATTGTATTTTGGTGATTTACTGACCATTTTGTGATCGTTTGTTCTCCTTTAGGTTGGGAAACAGAAGTCTTCAGACTCCGATACTGCTCCCGCTGCACTGTGAAAAGGAAGCTCATGCTGCGCTGCGACCGAAAAATCAAAGCACTCTGAGGAAAAAGTGTGGGCGCCTCTAGCGTCCTGGAGGATAAACGGCAGGATATTCTAATCTAATGCATGCAAACTTCAACATTTCATTCAACTGAATAGATAGATAGATAGATAGATAGATAGATAGATTTCCACTTCAAGTTCATTATTACAAATGTATAATTATTTATTTACTTAAATACACGACATGCAAGTTTCAATAGAAATTACATTTAAGTATATTTCGATTAACCATACATTTCAGTACATTTAACAGTACGCTTGAACCATATTTCAACACTATAAGTAATTATGAAATTACATGTAACGATGAAATCAGGTCAGCAAGTTCAGCTAATTGCATTTAATATAATGTATTTTCATTTAACTGCAATTAACATGCAATTAACAATTAACATTACATTTATTTCACACTTATATTTCCATAATACATAGGCTATTTTTAAAAGTATGCTAAAGTGTACTACTTTTTCACAAGATTTTGTTTTTTAATGTGTCTTTGAAATGTACAGGATACCATAGTGAAATGCACTTATTCTTGTTAAGTATTCACAAGTTGCAATTAACAATATAATCAACAATATACAATAACACAGTACACACAAATAATAATATGAAGGGCTAAATGCAGACTAAATAGACAATAAAACAAATGAGCACTCATTAGTTAACACTTGTTTAGAATTTTAAAGTAAATGTCACAGTTTGTAAAGTGTTTCGATGAGTGGTGTGAATAAATGTGGTGTGAAAATGTTCATATAAGGTTGCAAACAATCCATGACTACAGTGTGAACTTCCTTAAAATAGGGTGGTGCAAAAAAGTAGATGCAACTCAACCTGTTGACACAGAGTCCTGTTGACCCTAAAACTTCCTTTCTGCATATAGGGTAGCTTCTCTGTCAAAGCTCTCTCTCACACAGCACTTGATGAGATTAACAATGCAGCAGACTCTCTTGGCAGGCAGAGTCCCCAAGGTAAACGTTATCTCGGGGCCCATATTTGTCAGCTAAAAATTAAAAGAAGTTGTAAGAGGAAGTTGTTCACTCAGTCAGGTTACTTTAAAAACAAGCTCCTGAGTCACTGACAAGAGCTGTTATTTTGAGGAACTTTGACCAGCGTGTGAGACTCTGCTATAAAGCGACATGTGATTCTTTTGTTGTTTTGTCGTTTTTTCCTCTGCGGTATGGAAGAACCCGGTGTGACACCTTCTGTCACTGGAACAAGTTTGACAGAGGAAAGATTTTGTGGAGACATTCATACCCCCAAATGCCAAGAATCTTGCACTCTGGTAAGAAATCCCAGTTTTCACTATTTTGAGGCCAATGATCCTGATATAAATGTCATAATATATGATATACAGTATAATGTAGTTGTGATACATGTGTATGAAAAAAGCAATGCACTGATATGTTTATATTCCATCATCTTCACATATACATAGATACTCAGATATATATATATATATATATATATATATATATACAGTATATATATACAGTATATATACATAATTACTTTTTTTGTATCTTGTGTGTTTCTGACATTTAATGATGTTTTAGCTCATTGGAGAAAGATACTCAGTTTCTAAGGCGTTACATATGGACTCTTTGACTGTACCATCTCTGTCTCCCTCAACGGGATCTCAGCTCAGTGTGGATGAGATGAAGTTACTCGCTAAACTAGAGGAACAGAACAGGTAACTTCTTCACACCCATACCATGCTGTTTTCTATAGAAACAACAACTTAAACTAAAAAGTTACACATTACGTTAGTGAGACATCTCTTTTTCCACACTGTGTGCCCAACTTGTTTTCATTTAAAAAAAAAACTTCATTCTGTTTTATAAGCTTGTTTCCTCATGAGGACCTAAAAAAATATCCCCAAATTTACAGGTATTACTATACTTGTGGGGACATTTGGTCCCCATAACGTAGGGAATACCAGTACACACACACACACACACACACGTTTGTTTCTGTGAATTGTGGGGACTCTCCATAGACTTCTATTACTTTATACTGACCAAACGATATTTTCAATCTCCTAACCCTAAACCCACCCCTTACAGAAAACCTGTTTGCATTGTTACACTTTCAGATAAACATCGTTTACTATTTTTAATAATTTTTTTCCCTCATGGGGACCGCAGGGACCCCACAATGTCAAAAATTTCAGGTTTTACTATCCTTGTGGGGACAAATGGCTTATCTTACTTAGTATTTTTGTCTTGTTTCTAGTCAAAATGTCTAAAAATTCTTAAATCAAGATACTTTTACTAGATAAGCCAAATGACTTAAGATATTTAGTCTTGTTTCCAGGGGGAAAAAACTAAATTAAGTGCATTTTGCTTAAAACAAGTAAAATTATCTGCCAGTGGGGTAAGTAAAAACAAATCTTGTTTTAAGACTAAATATCTTAAGTCATTTGGCTTATCTAGTAAAAGTATCTTGATTTAAGAATTTTAAGATATTATGACTAGAAACAAGACAAAAATACTAAGTAAGATAAGCCATTTTTTGCAGTGTAGCATAAACAAGTACACACACACACACACACACACACACACACACACACATTCATGTATATCAAAGATTTAAAAATAGTGCTTACTAACAGTATGCTATTTATTTGTTTATTTTTTAATGGCATTCAACATGAAACATTATTAGATGCATTTTAAATGCTGTTCATGTTGAAACAGAACTTATCAAAAGTATATTTGTTGTTTTTAATGACATCAAGCATCAAACAAACTTTCTTTCAAAAGAATTTTAAAGACTGCATGCATATATCATTCATGTTGATCTTACATCTCAAAATATACTTATCAAAAGTATGCTATTTATTTGTTTGTTTATTTATTTTATTGACATTTAGCATTAAACCAACATTATCATATGTCTTGCAAATAATTTATGTATATTTAAAATATTCATGTTTATCATACATTTCAAAATAGTACTTATTAAAATTATGCTATTTATTTGTTTGTTTAATTTATTTTCATATACATTCAGAATAAACATTATTAGATGCATTTCAAATACTGTATGTATATATTACTACATTTTTTAAATATAAAATTTTTTACACAGCTTAAATACTGACTTCTTTTGGATTATTGTAAAGAATTAAGGTTTTTATTAATGGCAAGGATTAAGTCATTCATCCCTAATAATTAATCCCTCAGTTCTGTTTGGTATATGAACTTGAGAAGTACACATCAGATCTACACTCCTAAACAGGCTATTTTTCTCAACAGACTGCTTGAGACTGACAGGAAGTCTCTGTACCCTCTGAATGGGGTCCTGCAAAGTCCCACCTCACCCAAAACCTTCTCTTTTGAGGATGACATATGGGGCAATGTCATTAAAGAATGGGACAACTGGCGCAAGAGAAAAGTGGGACAGATCAAGGTAACCAACTCATCGATCCACCAGTTTCATGTCATGATTTCAGTCTCATCACGCCGTACCATTCTTCCCTCAGGTGCTGATCAGGAGGGGTGTCCCTGCTCACCTGCGGCCCGCTGTGTGGCAGCTGTTGTGTGACGCTCAGAATGTGGCCGTGCGACAGAAGTACTCAGATCTGCTGAAGAGCTCGTCTCCCTCTGAGACGCTGATACTCAGAGACCTGACACGTATCCTCCCTCAACACCAGCTCTTTCACAACAAGGTCGCTACCTGCCAGAAACCACTGTTTAATGTGCTGAAGGTTAGACAACCGAGAAAATCTATACCTGTGATCATACAGAAAAAACTTAGGAATTATGCATTTACATAATACAATGTGGCTTTAATTACAGGCTTACTCAATCTTAGACCAAGAGATTGGCTATTGTCAGGGAAGTGTGTTTATTGTAGGTCTATTGCTCACACAGGTAATGAATTGCTTTTTTAATTGAAATTGTACTTACAAATTGTAGCTAGTACCAGTCAATGAACTGAGATGATCACCTTTTAGATGGCTGAAGAGGAGGCCTTCTACATTTTTGTGAGGCTAATGAAGGACTTCAGAATGAGGGATCTGTATAGATCCAATATGGTTGAACTCGGCTGCTGCATTCACCAGTTTGACGCTATGATTAAGGTAAACACTTATAATTCTGCACTATTTAAAAGCACATGGATTATTTGTAAAATGTCCTTTCCAAAAACATTGAGCTAAGTAAGCCACATAAAGCATGTTACAAACGATCTGCTGAAGTATCTTTCCATTTCCTGATAAATGTCAGATTTCTAAAAAACTGCACATTTGACAAGAACTTGTTGTAGATGTCCAGATTTGGTGTTTTGTAAGTAGGGAATAGTGGGGTAAAGCTGTGTCAATTTTTTTAGCTACCTGATGTATGTTGTCCTCTAAGCAATGCGAAATTAGAATACATTTGTCTAAAATATATCTTAGTATGTAATATAAAAATATATTTAAAAATACATATATTTTTAAAATAAAAAATATATTTTATATGTAATATGAAAACATTTCTGCAGTCATTACTCTAGTTTTCAATATCACACAATCCTGCTGAAGGATCATTCTAATATGCTGATTTAGTGCTAAAGAAATATTTCTTATTATTATCAATGTTGAAAACAGTTGTGTTGCTTTATATTTTTCTTGAAACTGTGATAACTTTTTTCAGGATTCTTTGATGAACATACATTTTAAAATAACATTATTTAACTCTTCATTATTTTTTACAAAAACATAAAAATTACCCTTTTGAATTGCATTGTATATGATATTTGTTATTTGACCTAAAAATTTCCTTGGACATAGAATGTTGTTTAGCATAAAAATGCTTACCAATACGTGGTCACACGTCATGACAAAAACGGTACACAGTTTTGTAGCTAAAGGGGGCGACACATCTTACTCCACTCATCTGTTGTCTGATCATATTTTTCTCTTTCTGATAGGATCAACTTCCTGAGCTTCATTCCCACTTCCAGACTCAGGGTTTTCACACCTCTGTGTTCTCCTCCTCTTGGTTTCTCAACATCCTCCTCTCATCTTTACCAATCAGAGCTGCCATTAGGATTTTTGATATCTTCATGTGTGAGGTATAATTAATCACGTCACTGCATCTCATCATAACCCATCACTTCACACTGCATGTCATGTAACTTCTATGTAAACATTTATAGATAATAGATAAGAAATAACCAGCCAGTGATATTTTAGTATTATTTACATTCTATTTTAGTGTTTTGGATTAGCTTTTATTTTTATATTTTCAGTTTTCATTTTAGTTTTAGTAATTATGTTGTTTTTTTCTTTTTTTATTATTAATTATTTTTTATTTTATTTCAGATTTAGTTTAACATGAATTTGAACAGTTACATTCTGTAACAGTAATTTTAGTATTTAATCTTATTTATTTCTATCAGTAGTTGCGGAGTTTAGGTTTCAGTTTTCTTTTTTTTTAGTCATTTTATGTGCTTTATTTATTTATTTATTTAAGAGTTGCCTCATTTTTAAATTCAAGTTTTTCATCTAATATTTTATTTTATTATTTTATTTTATTTTCAATTACAGAAAACCTTTTAATATTTGTACTTTTACCTAACAATAACAACGCCAGTATCTAAATATTATTTGACTGACAGTATCAGTGATTATATATATATATATATATATATATATATATATATATATATATACGTGTGTTTGTAGGGTTTGGAGATCGTGTTCCGGGTTGGTTTGGCTTTACTTCACATGAAGCAGACAGAACTCATCAAGCTTGATGTAGAGGGAATGATGAATGTAATGGAGCACCTCAATGAAACTAAATTTTTGTTTAGTTTTTGTTTGTCACTTGCTAGCGTTAAGGATTTTTTAAAACGTTTTTACAATCATTATGTCTTTGAAATACTGCCACTTTGAATTTTCTTGGTGTTCAGAGTGATTCTGTTGTTTTCAGTGCTTACAGAATCTGGAATCATGGGCTTCAGATCCTGATGGAATCATTGAAGCAGCATATCAAATAAAATACAACTCCAGCAGAATGAAACAGTATGTGTTTTTCCTTGTTCCCGTGTTTGCATATCCAATTGTCTATGCAAACAAAATGATTGATTTTATTGGTTTTAGATTGAGACAAGAGTATGCATATATCAAGACAAAAAAGCTGGAGGAGCAGGAAGAACTAAATGTGAGTGCTTTTTTGTTTCTCTTCACATAATATTTCTTAACAGTACAGAAAAATCGGTCTTCAGATTCTGAATCAAAACCAAAGCCATTTTCAGCCACTGAGAATGCTTAGTTTGTTCTCTTGCCTTATCTCAAGGGACTTTCTTCAGAGAACAAACATTTAAAGCAGAGGCTTGCCTTACTGGAGAAGGTAAGTGTATTGCAGTGCCTATATGTTAATGTTAATTCCTTTTTTCTTAAGATATGTTCACGCTCTTACTCCCACATGTGCCGACCTTCCAGAGGTGCTCAGAAAAACTGGTGTCACAGCTGAAGAAAGAACTGGAGAAAACTCGGCTAAACACAGCCAGGTCACAAAGCGCTTTAAAAGAGATGCAGGCAAACATCTTGCAGATGGAAGAGGTCAAAAATGAAGTCAAGTCTTCCATGCAAACTTGTTTTACATACATTAATATGAAGTATTAAGCGCAGTTTTAGAGTGCTGCAGTGATGACCTAATATTGTAGCCCAACCCAGAAGTTAGCATCACCCTGGTTTCTGAGAGAAAAAAGTCAGCAGGAGTTTTTCATTGCATTTTTGATTACTGCAGAAAATAAGCTTTGCATCCAATAAAAGTTTATGATTCTTACAAATTTTTGTTAATCATGATAGTCTTCACAAATAACACAACTATAGTTGATTTGAAGCCTAAATACAATCGCCGGAAGTAAAAAGTTAATGTCACCATCGCTAAGCTCTTTCAGTCTTTATTTAAACAAACAAACAAACAAACAAAAAATATCCCTGAGAGGTTAAGTTAGAATAGTTTTCAAAAGCATGATTGACTTTTTGAATTATTATTTTTTTTTAACGATGGAACCGGAAGAACTCAAATGCTAACTCTTTTCCAGGTTTTGGCCTACAAAAATAGGTCATCCTTAGTTTATTCATAGGCTATAGTGAGTTAAAGCATGTTAGACATCACATGCTGATATTTAGACAGGTTTGGGGTTGCTTCCGTAATTAAAATGTGTGTGTTTCTGTGTTGTAGAGCGGCGCTGTGCCTAATGAGGACAGTGTGATGGATCTGCAGACGGAGCTGATCAGCTGTAGATTGCAGGAAGCAGAGGCACTAACTGAACTCAAAGTGCTAAAACAACACATTAAAGACATAGAGGAGAAATGGCAGGTAACTTTGGATGGGGGTAGAGAAAAGAAGATATTCATTGTTCAACATACCATACATAAGTAAGGGTTATCAAAACCTCACTGTCTCTCTCCCAGAGGCAGCAGGTGCAGTGCGGAGGTCAGCAAAAGATTAGCAGCGCACAAAATGAACTGCAGGTGGAGCTGTTAAGCACAAGACTAAAGGAAACGCTCACTCAAGCCGCGCTTAAAGAGAGCCGCCACAGACTGATGAAGCTGCAGACAGAGGTTAAAACCCTCAGCTGATAATATCTGCTGGTTTACTGTACAACTTTATGCACTGCAATATGTGGGATAGAAGAGCAATGAACGCTTAGTTCTGATCGCTTACTCCTGGAACTGGTTTTAAGTAAAAATATGACACTTAAATACACTATAATATTAAGTGCATTTAATATATAAATTATATATGATATTATAAAAATATATAACAACCTATGACACTCTTGCATTTGCACGCGTGCACGGGGATAATCACTGAGACTTGAACAACGAAAGCCTGGCCTAGATTCAAATTTGAGTCTCTCCAATAAACCAATACAGGTCCCTCTCTTTCTCACTTGCATACAGATCTGCAAGTTGAGATAATTCTTTCTCAGAAGCTATAAATAGCATTAAAGTGTGGGAATTAAACCGCGCTAGTAGCGTTGCTTGAACAACCCATCACGAGCCGCTGAGGACACGACGCAGATCAAGGCAGCAGCGCTGTGTGAATCGCGCAATCCGTTTCGCTTCAGTCGTGCTGCGTGATACAGAGAGGATGACGCTTTACAGTCTTTTTGCTGTATTTGTTGTCTTTATCTTTCCGAAAAAAGAGGAAAAAGAGAAAAGAAAGAAATGGCCGCAATCAGACTTTTAGCGTTTAAACTGTTAACTTTAACACAGCCAGTAATTCTAAAAATCAATAACCAAAAAAAAAAAAAACGTTTGGATTGATCATTACGCTGGAAAAGCGTGGGCTCTAATAAGTTTCAAATGTGAAATGTATTAATTACATTCCTGAATTAATTTTTCTAACGTTATGAATTTTATATTGAAATCAACGTTACTTACCGTTTCTATAGGCCTAATTATTAGTGAAATGTAGGCTACTGTATTATAGTGAAAATTGTTTCATCGTAAAAGTAAATCTTACCCTTTCTTAAAAAATCTAAATTTTTTCCAGTGTGCGTATATGTGGCTGGTGGTGATTAATTATTAATTAACTAGGAAAATGAAAAATGGGACTTCGCTTGCTGACGCATGTTATATAATACTAAATAATATGTAATATTATTGTAATATGTAATATATAACATTATTTAGTTTAATATATAATAAAGTTATTTAAAAAAAAATCTTCACATTATAATCATTTATTATAATAATTGCATTTGATTTAGGCCTACTGCATTTCAGAATTTCAGTATCTGTCTTCTTTTCCGACTTTTTTTAGATAAAATCCCCCTTTTTAACTTTTTGGTAATTCAATATTTTTTATTTGTCACATACATGGTTATATAGAGAATATATGACCAGCAGTGAAATGTAAGTCAGGTCCGCTCCATGGACAGTGCAATTATTAAAGAATACAAACACAAGAAAATTACATATAAATATAGGTATGGACAAAGTAAGATCAAAAAATAAGAATAAAATAAAATGCGCAGGACAGTATACTCTAGACTTAATAAATATTAAGATGA